CAAAAACCCTAGCAAAAACCGGCCCCGCCACAGAGGGCCTCCCCAGTAGCTTCGCATGGTAGCGGAGCTCTGGGCTCCGAAGGTCGCTAGGCGTAGCGTCTCTTGTTCCAGGGCAGAATGCAGCGCACAGGCGCGCAAGCAGCAGTAGGTAACGTTCCGAGTAGTCCCACGCACTTGTTAGAGCAAGGCGGAATTTCAGAAGTACCACCACGCATCCCGGATCCGAGTACGCCTAATCAGAGTACACCAGGTAGCGTGAATGGTTCGCAGGGTAGAGGTCGTGTGACACCCAACGCACCACACATGCCGAACATGCCAGGAGCAGGATTAGGATGGGGTCACTCGAACTTAGCTGGTCAGAATCTTAGCAGTCAGAACCCTAGTGGTCCGAACCTGAGTGGTTTTGCGCCAGGACTGGGTCAGTTCCCTAGCCAAGTGCCCAACTTAGCAAGTGGCGATCCTAGAATCTCAGTTGGGAATTGTGGAGGATACGGTTGCTGTGGCAGTTGCGCACCAGGACCTGGATGTAGCAGTGGTTTTGTAGGTCAGGCAGGACAAGGTTGTGGCTCTTTGTTTCCCTGTTTAGGTGTGAATCCGGTTGGAGTGCAAGACGTTGTACGTTTAGCAGAGGGTATGTCTGGTGCACAGGTCCTATCCTTAGCTCAATACTTTCAAGAACAAGTTCGGAGAAGGACTCATGCACAACCAGATTTGTTTGGACAAGTACGGAGTGCGCCAGCAGAACCGTTCATGCCTGACTTGTTGGCGGCAGGTTTGCCGTTGCCAGTGGAAGCGCAGAGTGCACGGCAGCAAGCTGATGGTGCAGGTAGTGACAGTGGTTGGAACCAGAATGATCCATTTTCACGGACGGACAAGTGGATTGGAAATCCACCTCAGCCATCCTTTGAGAAGTGGCGTGATCGTGAAAGTGAAGTGCTCAATTGGGCGCAGTATGTGGCGGATTTGTCAGCATGGGCGTCCCAAGCATCTTTGCAGTTTGGGACTGAGATTCTGCAAGCATCTAGGTGGAGCACACCAATCCGTTGGTCATCAATGACGTTGGTGATGAGAAGTCGTAGTATGCGTTTGTTGGCTATTTTGAGATCCACGTTCATGGGCCATCCCAGGAGTGCCACGTTGATCCATGCTTTCATGGAAGGAGTGGACATTCAGGCCATGACCTCTGACGGTAGTGCAGGAACCAGTGCGAACGGATATGAGCTTCTGCGTCAGCTTACGCAGGAATACTCCTTGAGGACACGCAATGAAGCACTTGTTTTTCGAACTGCGTTGGCATCCAAAAGTTTTGTTCTCACGGCTCAAGAAACATCTCCTTCGTCGCTCGTGAGTGATACCGTACGACGTATCGAACTTGAAGCTGCTAGATATCAGCGATTGTTGAGTACACTCCCGTCGACGGTTGATGCTGTAGGGCTACAGGTGTCAGAAGCTGATTTGCTCATGGTGTTGGTGCGCAGTTTACCAGAAACCGTGCGCAACTATGTTTTGCGCCATGCAGAAGGAGAAAGCTACCAAGCATACCGAAGTGCAGCATGTAGATGGGAACAGCAGCAAAGGATGTTTACGGATTTGGTCCCTTTAGGAGGCAAAAAGGTATCTCAGGTGACACACCACAAGGAGGAGCAGCAACAACCACAAGGAGTAGAATGGTTTGATTTGAGTGAAAATGACGAAAATTGGTTTGTTGATGAGTTGCAGGGTTCCGCACAAAAGTGTGGAAAATGTGGGAGTAAGAAACATCAGACTCATGAATGTAGTGTTGATTTGACCAAAATCAAGTGTTTCCGATGCAACCAGACAGGACATGTCTCGATGAATTGCCCGCAATCTCGCTTTGCAGGACCAAAAGGAAAGGGTCAAGGCAAAGGCTCAAAAGGTTTGGACGGACGAAAGAGTTCTTGGGTAAAACAGGACATGTTCAAGAAAGGAAAATTTGGAAACGGAAACCAAGCAGGCAAAGGTAAAGGTGGAAAGAAAGGAAAACTGAATGAAATTGAGTGGACCGCAGAAGATCTGTGGTGGGACAGTGAGGAGTCTTGGTGGGGAGATGGATCCCCGGTAGCCGCGACTTGGAGTGACGCGGCATGGCACGTGCAGGAGGATTGGCATTCTGGCTGGGTTGAGACCAGTCGAGATGGCTACGGCGCAGGTGGAGAGCTTGGTTCAGAAACTCAGTATCGCACGGATGCTGCTCAGTCAGAAGGAAATGCGCTTGGAAGTTTGATTCTTTCACCAGTTTTTGTCCTTTGTGATTTTGTGTCAATGCGGCCTTGTTTGGAATTGGAACCACCGGAGCACGACGCAGAGACTGCGACAGAGCCTTCGAAGTGTCCAGATTTGTCCGGACCTTTGGCAAAGGGCTTAGAGAAGAGTGCAGGAGAAACGACAATCGAAAAGACGCATGGAGATGCACACTCATGTCATGCTCTTCCGGCTCTGTCTGACTTCCCTTCCCCCGCAAAAGAGGGGGGGGTCCAAACGTCGACGTTTGGACGGGGTCTTTTTGGATGGGTGTCCTGTCAGTTTTCCAAGCGAACAAATATCGGGCATTCCACAGTCATGTCATGCTTCGTATGTGCAGTGTGGTTTGAGAGACGACAAACGGGTTGTTTATGCAAACGAGACGAGTCAAGAGTTGTGTGCACTTGAACCTCTCCGAATTCGACTTCTTTTGCCGTGTGTTTCAACTTTTTTGAACGAGACGAAACAAACGTTGTCAGTTGCAGCTCAGTCTGTGAAGTGGGTACCAGTTTTAATACCCCTCTTGTCTGAAATGGTGACAGATGATAACACTTGGTGGTTATTAGATTCAGGTGCGAGTGCCACGGTCATGAGCAGCGCATGCAAACATGTGTACATGGTGCATGATGTTCAGGCAGCAGTAGATGGTGATCGCTACAGGGCTGTGAATGGAAGTCAGGTGCACATGCAAGGCGAGGCATCCGTGTCTGTTTGGATGATGTTGCGTAATGATTCCAAGTCTTCAGGCTTAAATGCGGACGGGTGCGCATGGAAGAAGGCAAGGTTGCGTGCTCTTGTAGGGAACATTAGGCACAACATCCTGTCCACCACAAGGCTATGCGCTGGAGGTTGGAAGTTTTCACAAAGCAATGAAGGTTTCCAGGTCACACACAGCGCGACTGGTCAGCGTCTAGGCGAGGTAGCATACTTTGCAGGTTGCCCTTGGGTTCGACTCCACCCTGTAGAAACTCTGGATCGCAACACTGATGAGGCCGAGGTGTCAGGGTCACAGCAATTGTCGCTGTCTGCTATTGCAGGTGTTCCTGAGTTGACCGTGTCTGAGAAGGGCTATGAACTTCCTGTCTACCCGTTGTCGCGAGCAGCAGCGCGTGAACTTGAGCAACACCGTGCACAAGGGCACACACCTTTTCACCCAGGTTGCGTTGAATGTGCACGAGGACGAAGTGTTTTCTCCCATCGGCGACGATCGCAGGAACGGTTGCAGTGTGAGATACAAGCTGATTTTTGTTATTTGAAGAGCCAGGGTGAGATTTTGGAAGATGACCAAGGCTTGGGAAATATCAAAATTCTAGTTCTCACAGAACTGGTGTCGAATGCAGTTGGATACATCGTTGTCACAAGTGACCTCAAGGCGGTCAAGAAGAGGATTTCCAAATGGATGGAGCTATTTGGATTGGCATCGACATCAGGGGCCACGTCAGTGGTTTTACACACTGACGCGGAACAGGCAGTGGGAGATCTCATTTCAGATTGCTCAGAGAAGATCTCGTTTCTAGTGAGAAAGGCAAATCCACAGCAGCACCGAAGTGTGGGTGCAGCGGAACGCGCCGTTCGAAGGCTTAAGGAGAGCTTGGGTGTTTTGCGAGCTGACTTGAACAAGTCTGGAGTCGATTTGAACTTTACGCCAGACAGTGTGGCAGAAGCATTGACGTATTTGGCCTTAGTTCACAATCATTTCGGCAAGACCCCTAGTTCAGACTTTTCACCGTTGGAGACTGTTTGTGGCAGGCGACTTAGCAAACCCACATCGACTTTGTATGGTGCTACAGTGTTGGCTGAGTTACCAGACGCAGTTCGTTTTCGTGCTCCAAACGAAACTCGGAGTATCGAAGCGGCGTATTTGCACGCAGGACTTGATCATGGACCCAAGGTCCAAGGGTTTGTGCGGTTTGAAGGCCAGCTTGTTTTGCATCAATTTGTTGCTAGAAATGTGAGACCAATTCTTCCATTGAAGTGGGATGCAGAGATGGGAGCAGGGTTTATCGCCATGAGTGGTCACCCGATTGAGGTTGAAGATTTTCATGTGTCGAGAGGAGCGCTGGTCGATCCCCCGCAGGCCAAACATGCAGCTAGTTCAGCTTCCCGTCCGCAAGGTATGGAACAGGAACCACGATTGCCATTGCCAGGACCTGAGGGTGTGCCCGTGCCTCAAGAGAGAAAGCGCATGCATCAACAAGAAGCATTTGAGGCCAGTCAACCAAAAGTACCTAGAATAGAAGAACCTCCTTTTGTTCCAGAGTCAGAGTCGGCTGTGCGACAAACACCTCCTAGCCAACTTGCTGGTGAACCACAACCCAGGGTGTTTCAACCGACTCGTTTTTGTCCCGCTTGCGATACAGGAATGGTTGCGCCTGGAATCAGGCATTCAGCGCAGTGCCGTCGTCGCAGGGCAGCCTTTGATGCACAGGAAAATCTCCAGAATCTTCCGGTACCATTGGAGGCCGAATACACCAGACAGTTCAAAAGAGCTGCTGATACGGCAGTGCAAGATTTGGAAGAAACGACCAGGGCGAATACTGAAGCTGTGGAAACAGACTCAATCTTGTCTTCCTTGAACTTGTTTTGTTTTGACTCCGGTGAATTAGTAGAATCTTTGGATTTTAGGGTTCAAATGACGTCACCAACACTAGTTCTGGATGAGATCAGTGCCATACAATTTGATCATGGAAAGGAACATGTGTCCAAGCAACTCACTCTTGGGGGAGGCAAGGTTTTGATTTGGTGCCCTGATCATGTCATTGATGACAGCACGTTGGAGGCCTTAGAACCTAAGTTGGGTTTCGAGGGCATGTTGGAGGAAATTGGCAATTTGGAGAAGTGCAAGGCGGGGAAACTCTTGAGTGAACAACAAATGAACGATTTGAAGAGACTGAACAAAAACACAAGAGTAATACCTAGTAGATGGGTATGCGCTAAGAAATCCCCAGTCAAAGTCAGGACACGGATTGTGGCAAAGGATATTAAAAGGGGGACGACGGCTAGGGCCATGGGATACAGCTCACCCACTCCCAGTGTAGAAGGGTTGTTTCTTCTCCTTTCCTTGAGCGCTAGTAGGGATTTTCGAGTGAAGACCTTAGATATCAGTCACGCCTTCATGCACTCTCCCCTTCCGAGCTCCGAGACAATCTTATTGAGACTTCCGCTGTCTGTGAGCTTGGTTGATGGCAGTGTGGCGTATCTCCACTTAGATCGAGCGCTCAACGGGTTGAGAGATGCGAGCCTGAGGTGGTTGAATCTTTTGAGTGAGACTGTCAAAAGTCAAGGATTGTGGTCAGACGAACTTGAGCCCTGTATTTACCAGGGAGAAATCTTTGGTGAAGACTCTCAGGTGCTGGGTGTCGGCATGCTCATGGTGTACGTGGATGACATTTTGTTGTGCACCTCTACAGAGCAGGCAGAAAGGAGCGTGATCAATGCCATTTCGGCAGTTGTACCAACCAAGGTGACTGGACAGATTCTTCCGTCAGATGAAGGAGGCGGAAAGGTGTCATTTATTGGGAGACATCTTTATCGAAGGCCCCAGGAGAAAGCGATCTTTGTAGCAGTAGACCCAGAGTATCTCAACCCTACTTTCAAAGAATTTGGAATCACACAAGGATCGAGTGCTGTGCCTAACATAGCAGGCCTGATGGAAAAGAAGGATGCATCATCGAAAGCACCATTGTCGTCGGAAGCGTACTCCCGGTTTCGTCGGGGACTCGGTCGCCTCATTTGGTTAGCCCAGAGTAGAGCAGGCCTCAAGTTATGGCTATCACTAATTGGTACACAGCAGTCAGCCCCAACACAAAGCACTGAAGCGGCCATTAGGGCAGTATTGAGGTATTTGTTCACAGATCGAAACACAGTCCTTCGTCTTCCATCTCCAGAGTATGAGGGAGTGAGACTCACAGACCATGATGGTATGGTGACGTTCTTACACACCTTTTCAGACGCATCACATGCCCCATATGAATTCAACCAGCGAAAAGGCATCACTGGAGGGGTCATTATGGTAGAGGCAGGCTTGATTCGATCTCTGGCAAAGCAGCAGCAGGCCACTTCGTTATCGTTTTGTGAGGCTGAGCTATATGCTATTCAGCATCTCACACAAGAGGCAGTTGCCTTCTCTCATTTTGTGCATCGCGTTCTCTTCGGCTTGGGAGAGATTGACGAGAAGGAACAGGTGGACATTGTATTGGAATCAGATTCCAGCTCAGCGTTGCAGTTGATTGGTGCTGTTGATCTTCCACGTCGTTCCCGGCACATTGATATCAAGTTGACATGGTTGAAGGAACGTGTTAGTTCCAATGAGGTGCAACTTCGACATCGAGCGGGAACACAGAATGTGGCAGATCTTTTCACCAAGTGTCTCGGAACACGTGATTTCCTTCGACATCGAGCGGTGTTGGGATTCATGCAAGCGGACATGCCATTGAATGAGCTGTGGTTGTTGGCTGAAGCGTTTCATGTAAGCAATCAGGCATCAGGTTCAAACAACCCAGACTACTTGATGGTTGAGGTGTGTTGCACTGAGAATTCCAACTTGAGGTTGGCCTGTGAGCGATCGAACATTATGTATGTTGGTATCACGGCTAACATGGAAACAAAAGGAATCAAACAGAGGGTTGCCCACTTGGTAAAGATGAAAAGGAGCCAAGGGTTTTGGATTCATGTGCACGTATCCACACCATGTAAGACAGGTTCACCGTTGCAGCACTTTCGAGAAACTGAGAAACTGTCTTCCGAAGAACAGCAGACATGGGAACAAGTCATGGAAGCAACCACGCATTACCTGAGGCTTGGTGATGTGGGCTCATTTGAACTCCCGTTGTACAACAACATATGGGGGAGGCCACTTACTCTTCGTGTGATGGAGAAATGTGGTCTAGTGCATCAGAGTGTTGTGAACCTTTGTCAGGCAGGATACTCAGGTAGGTCCGGGACTCCAGTGGGCAAGAAGCTTAGTTTCGTTTCGTCCTCAAGAGGGTTTTGCGCATCGTTGACAAAGAGATTTGGAAAGTGCACTTGTTCGGAACATGCAGCATTTTCAGATACAGACTACTCAAAGACTGCTTTCTATTCTCCTACTTTGTCAAGAGGCATTTTGAATGCTATGAAAGCGGCGCGAAGAGATCCCTGAGGACCGATCGTTTGTGAACCTTAGTTTGGTAGTGAGCTGGCAGTGAACTTAATTCGCTTGAGGATCAGGAGCAAGGAGCAAGCATTTACAGCAAACACCGTAAATCGCGTAACGCGAAAATGAATGCGAGTAAGACGTCTAAGACGCCTCTAACATAGTGCTTCTTGTGACTTTCGGTTTTTTTTGCATCAAGCATCACACTTGGAATTGCAGTCATGTTTGTTTTGCACTTAGTTTGTGAACTCGTGACGTCGTTGCCGGTTTTGGGGTGAAGTGACTCTCAAAGAGAGGTGTACCTGAAACCCTTTCCGAGTGTGTGTTGTGGTGTGTGCGTGTGAGGCCTAATGTGGGCCCGTTGAGTTTCCTTTCTTTTGTTTGGCCGGTTTTGTTTGGAAACAGCTTCTTTTGCGCTTCTAGCCGGTCGACCTTGTGAGAAGCCATGGCCGAAGGTGCATGGTCCGAGGCTGATGAAAAGGCCTTGCAGGTGATGCTGGCTCGCAGGAGCCAAGGCATTGTGCCACCTTGCGTCACGCAGACTGCAGGTAGCATGACGGATGCTGCGAAGAGGCGCTTGGTTGACTTTGAGAGTGATGAATTTGAGGAAGTCCCATTTCCCGGTTCACCGAAGGATCGTGTGGCCACCCTTGCAGCTATGGATGTGACGATTGCAGATGAGGGCAAAGTGAAGCATTTGCTCCCCAAAGGGGTTGACAGCTTTGTGGAATGGTCCCGCACTGTGATTGCTTTTGGCAAGCTGAAGGATTCAGGGCTCAGCTACAAGGAGATTGTGGCAGACCCGAAGCATGAGGCCTATGTGGCTTGGTGCAAGCGTTTGAAAGGCTCGACTGGGCCGGCAGGAGACTTTGGTGATTTTCTGCAAGCCTATGAGATGATTTTTGATGGCCGTTTGGGCGATGGTGGCTACTACTCCGAGTCAACGGTTCGGAGGGTCTTGAAGTGAATTGAGAAGCTTGTGGCTTTACCTTTTGGTTTCGGCGCTGTCTTCGCTTTGAAAGCTGACGAGACTGGAGGGAATTTTTCCAGAGATGCTCAATTCGAAAGGGGGTGTGAGAGGATATTGGACCTCTTTGATGCGACTTGAGCATCTACACGTCTAGAACAATGCACTACGAGCCACTTTCAGGGATTTGAGCGCCCCTGAGTTCACGACAATGCACCACGAACCTCTTTGGTACTATGTGAGTCAAAGCGGTTTGAATGTCTTTGACCGTACCTTCATGCGTAGCTTTTGGAGTGTTTTGAGCCAAGTACAGTTCAAGAGGATTTGGCACGTTGGTTTTTCTGCGACCACTTGATGTGGAGTTCACTTTGCACAACATGATGCTTTTGAAAGGAACCCACGTGGTCGACTTTTGCATAGCTTGATGTGAGCAGTCAATGTTTTTACGTTGGCTCAAGCTCAACGTAAAGCCAGAACAAGTCAAGCGAACACGACACGTTTGCTTGCGTGTGTGTGAGTGAAGGAAAAGTTGAGGGGAGTCCGATCTTGTGAGTCATTTGCTTTTTTGGGATCGACACGTTCGAGTTCGTTGATCGTTGTTCTTTGAAGGCACCCGCCCGGGCTCTCCCTGTGCTTCGTGTAAGGAAGAACGCTGTAGGTAGCAGTACCGCGACGCGTCTTGTAGCGTACACGTAGCTTCGCAACCTCTTGGGAGGCAGCCCTGGGTACTGTCTAGCTGCTCAGTCTTGGCAGCAGGATTGACGGAGGCCAGTTGGCAGGCTTACTAGCAGGTGGATCGCATTCTCAAGACCTGCTCGTGGGCGCAGGTCTGGGTTGTCAAGCTTCCCTAAGGTGCGTTTCTGCGCAATGCCGCACACAAAGAAATTGCTGGTTCTGGCAGGTCTAAATTTTCTTCCCTGTGATCACTGGCATCTGTCGACAGCTCTCAGCGCTGCTCGGACTAGACAGGTTATCCAGTTTATTAGGACACATGTCCTTTGCGATGTGCAGTTTTTCCCTTTGCTTGCCCCTAGCTCCAAAGTGCGGGCATATCGCCATGATACGCATGGGTGGAACCTCCTATGAAAGGGTACAATTGCGATGTTTCTCAGCTCCCCCATGGAAATTGTCCTGGTGTGACTTCTGGCCTACCCTGGACTCACGCTAAGGCGCGTGCCCAGACTCTTGACGAGTACCTGTGAGACCGCGCTTGCTGCGGCCAGAAAGGCTTGTTTTCATCCAAGACCAGGGGTATACCCCATGTCCGGGATCTTATGCAGCCAGGGTGGCCATCGCATAGGAACCGGAGTTCTCTTTGTTGATGTCCGACATTTCCAATTTTGTACAAAGAGGTACAGATTCCACGCTAGGACTGTTCAAAGTTTCACCTGTTTCACACGGGCCTTGCACGCAGCCGATCACCTTTTGCAATGGCGCAGCACTTCACGGATCTAGAAGACATCCCTTTCTGTTTGTTATTTGGCATCTTTGAGTGCCAAAGGGTGCTGAGTTGACCTCCCTTCGCGGGTGCCCTTTCGCACCCTTACCTGCAGGCTTTCGTCGATTGCTATGGCCGCCACTGAATGATCAACAGGTAACATGCCACTGGGCTTGTGCGTGCAGCCAGTTGCACGGGTTGTGCCACAAGAAAGGTCTTTTCCACGGCATGCTGCATAGCTACGCTACTCCATTTGACATGGATGCAACCGACGTTGGAGCATTGCGATGCTCCTGACCTGCATCGTGACCATGATTTTGCCGCACCGTGGTGTGGCCGCTGGTCACTTGCAATCGTAAAGTAAAGTCCCTTTGAAGCCTTTTTTTGTGACTTTGCTAGAGCACAAACCTGCGCCGATATGCTTTTCGTTCGTGAATTCAGGCCCCTTTCTGGTCACTCGTTTTCGTTTCACCCGTTTCACCTTGCACAGAGGAAAGACTACATGATGGTGGAGACGCGGCCTGTGGGCCCTGGGTTGTGGTGTTTTGTTTGTTTGGTGGGGTGTTGTGTTTCTCTGTTCCTTTCTCCACCATCAGACTGTTCTTCCCTCCCTTCAACGATGACCTGGGCACCATGCCCACACGGCGTCCGCACTCGTGGAAAAAAAAGAGGGCTGCTTCTTCGAGGCTGGGGTAGAGTCGCTTTACTTCCAGCAGATTTCAGCTGGATGGGACCAGCTGCATGCGAGCTCTGCAAGCGACTACAATCAGTAGACATCTCGCAAACAGAAAACAGTAAGATCTTAGAGGGCACCTTTGCACACTGTTCACAATTGCAACAACTTCGACTTGCTGAAAGGGTGCGGCGCATTGGGCGAGAAGCTTTTCCAAATTGTGCATCATTGGGTGAAATACATGCTCCACCTGCCTTGGTCTATATTGCCAGGCATGCTTTTGCCGGCTGCATGCAGCTCTGCATACTTTCTCGAGTAGGAGAAAAGACCACGTGGAGAGGGACGTACGCAGAGTACAATTCGAAACCTGCAGTCCACTCGAGATCCCAAGGTGGGTCCGTCTTCTTCCAAAGCCATCCGACTGCAAAGAGGAGTGGGCAGACTTCATGCGCAAGTAAGATGCGCAAGCACTAAGTAGGATCACTGACCTCTTCTCGCCATTCGCAACGCTGTGAGCCAATAGGAATGAGAGCCTCAGCTCCTCGTTCCGAACAGGCGGGTGGTAGAGAGTGGCAATGGAGGATGCCCAGGGGGCAGGACAAATGGCGAAAGCATTCTCTTCAGCATAGACTCCTCGCCATTTATGCCTTCCTGGCATCTTGGCAAGCCTACTAAAGACAGTGCAATCTAGGAAGGCCCTACTTCCAATGTACCTCAGTGAGGGCGGGATGGCAAGCTCAACTAGGGCTGCACAGTTCATGAAGGCTTTGACTCGGATTGTATGGAGAGTTGTCGGAAGGAGGACTTCTCTGAGACTAGTGCAGTGCACAAAGGCGAATTCCGGAATTTCCTCAACATTGGTGTTGCAAAGGTCTACACTCTTACATTGGTGTTGCAAAGGTCTACACTCTTAAGCAGTCGTTGATGTCCGACATTTCCAATTTTGTACAAAGAGTACAGATACCAAGCTAGGATTGTCCAAAGTTTCACCTTTTCACCTTTTTCACATGGGCCTTGCATGCAGCCGATTAACTTTTGCTACGGTGCTGTGCTTCGTAAACCCGGAAGTCACTCCACTCTGTTTGCTGTTTGGTACCTGTGAGTACCAAACAGTGCTGAACTGACCTCCCTTCGGGGGGGTCTCTTCGCACCATCACCTGCTAGCTTTCGTCGATTATGGCCGCCACCCATTGATTGTTGATTGGTAGCATGCCACTTGACTTGTAAGTGCAACCGGTTGAACGGGTTGTGCCACAAGAAGGGTCTTTTCCACGGCATGCTGCACAGCTACGCCACTCCACTTGTCAGGGATTCAATCGACGTTGAAGCATTGCGATACCTCGTCGTTGAGTGGAGAATTGCATAGTGACCATGATTTTGCCGCACTGGGGTGTGGCCGTTGGTCACTCATAATGGTGAAGTGAAGTCCTTTTGAAGCTTTTTTGCGACTTTGCTTGGGCACAAACCTGCGCCGATATGCTTTTCGTTCGTTAATTCAGGCCCCTTTCTAGACACTCACTCTCGTCTCACATGTTTCACCTTGCACAGAGGAAAGACTACATGATGGTGGAGACGCGGCCTGTGGGCCCTGGGTTGTGGTGTTTTGTTTGTTTGGTGGGGTGTTGGGTTTCTCTGTTCCTTTCTCCACCATCAGACTGTTCTTCCCTCCCTTCAACGATGACCTGGGCACCATGCCCACACGGCGTCCGTACTCGTGGAAAAAAAATACACTCTTAAGCAGTCGGCAACTGTCGCACGCATGCGCTCCGATAGCTACAAAATGCTTTGTGAGAGCAAGTGCGGTGATTCCCGTAGAGCTAAGACAGCCCGGTGTCAACTCACCGGTCCTAGCTTGCAGTGCTGACCCTCGGGGGGATGGAAGCTCACTTAAGGTAAACTCAGCAAGGTTAATACACCCTTGAAAGAGGTATTGCCCAAACTTGGCTTCGCTATTGAACATGTTTGCAACCCCTTCCGATGCATACACCCATTGCAAGGAACAACATTCCGCAAAGGCTTTATACCCAAAATCTCGACACCCCGGAGCCAAGACGCTGTTTAGTAGTTTGCAGTCACGGAAGACGTTATCGGCAATGCCTACAACCGTGGCCGGCAATTTGACTATGCGGAGCTGTCGGCAGTTTTGCCAAGCCTCTGCTCCAATGAGCCTGATGTCTGGCTCTACACTGACGTGTCTCAGGCGTGGAACCCCTGCAAAGGCCCCTTCTGGGACAATTTCTTCTGGGTTCATGGGGACATGAACTGCCAGCGGAATGTGATGGATAGGGCAATCCTCAAGTTGTTCTTGAGATGGCAGGATAACACTGCAGTTCCGAAAGACAATGGTGCATGCCATGCCTTGCTGTAGCTTGTCCCAGATTGGGTTCTCTAGCTAAGTCTGTGTGGCAGTTTGTAAAAAGTCATGAAGCACCCAAATACTTTGAGATCAGTAACAGAAACGAGATAGTCCATGACCTGGTCTTCTAGATCCTCAAAGCGGTCAAACTTTGCAACACTGAGAGAGACAGGAAAAGTCTCTCCCGAAAGCGTGGTCAGCGTCAGGGAGCATTCCATGACCGGCTCCTTTTCAGGGGAAGTGCTAATCATGGATGAATCGTCAAGCTCCATGTGCGACAGGCTATTTGCAATGATTGTTTAGCCAAAGGTGTCTGGGTCTGCTTGTGGGCTGTTCACAAAGGACATGATGACAGTGCGCATAAAGGTGAGGGCATCGACATCTTTTTCCTTTGTAGTCTGTGATTTTCCTTCCTCTGCTTGTGCTGTCCCTGGGCCCTGATGCCTGTGTTGATTATCAAAGGAACAGCACCTTGCGATGAAAGCGAGGAGACCATACTGCCAGAATCGGGGGTTTGCATAGAGGGCAAGCTG